GGGGGGGGGGGGCGGGGGCGGGAGAACTATGGATTGGCGTGGTGATAAGGCCGGTCAGGGACAGCTTGTTTGCTTTTTCAAAGCGTGTTTCGATTGTCGATGTGCCAAGGCCTTGTTCTTGTCGCCCTGGTGCACCCTTGGCGGGATGTTGAGAGAGAGAGCGACCGCGGGAGAGTCCGAGTACCTCAGGAGGGCCAGCTGACCGAATGTGGCGATTGTTGACAGCTGTTTGTGCCGGCCCAACCTTCGAAACTCTCGAGCGATCGGGGTCTCATTGGTTCTACACTACATGCTCCGCTGCATGAGACTGAGTGCACCCCGCACGCCCTCGTCCCGCCTCCTTGGCGTTGGAATTCGTTTTTTTCAGGGGATTTCGTCGTTACTCTGTGGACGTTTAGCAGCGAGACCACACCAATAGGTGAGGGAGGGGGTCGCGTGCAACAGAACGGTAGGGGAGTCGTTCACGAGCATGATGGTCGTCCATGTCTGTCTCCCCCAATGGTGTGGGTGCCCATTCCCTCACGATACGCTTGCATACGATAACGCTCGGCCGAGATGCTTGTTCTGTTACCACTTGGGGATACTGAAACTGGTGTTAAGATGCTGAGTTTGCACGACCGTGCCGAGGGGGGTGGGTCGGAAGGGGGGTGGGCCGGAAGGGGGGTGAGGGGGGTGACACATGACGTCGTGCCTTTTTTCGGGTGCCACCCTCTTCGCCCTGGCCGGAGCCCCCTCTGAGGAGTACCGATGAAAAGGCACAGCGGCGCCCATCCCCGCCTCTGAGGAAACAGAATAAATAACCACGTGGAAATGAAACTTGCCATGATGCGCGCGATTCACGTTACCTCCGAGCACCGATCAAGACATTGTAGTAACGTTGTCTCGCTCTTGGTTGATCACTAGGGAGTGTCGATCGAAAAGACACAACAACCTCTCTGTGGAAGGCGGGCGGTCAAGTCGAAATGAACTCGCTCATGATGATCACGCGTTTGCCCGCTGGCCGCTGCAGGAGACGAGGAGGGTGAAGAGCAGGAGGGAGGCCGATCGCTGGGCCTGCTCCGCGAGCGGCCTGCCTGGGCCGGGGACCTGCGGAGGATGGGGACGAGCGGCGGTGATGGAAACGTCAGGTGAGGAACGAGGAACGTTCATGGGGCTGGTGCTTGGTTGTTGTCTAATACAAGGTGCACAGCGCTTTTTTTTCACGAGGCCGTTTTTTGGGGCGGCAGCGGAAAGATGCTTCAGTGCTGTCTTTTAAAGAGTGCACCATGTTTCTGTTTCATGAAGCAAATTCGGCAGGGGAAGGGTGCTCGATTGTTGTCTACAAAGGAGCACGCCGCTTCTGTTTCATTTCAGGAGCATCTTTGGGAGCGGCCGAGGAAGGGTACCTAAGTAACGGTTCCAAAAGAGCAAAACGCTTCTGTTTGGTATCAGTGCCACGCTTCCTAAGGCGCGAAGGTGAACACCTGCCAGCAACGGGCAAGAGCGCCGGCCCTATTTCAGGGAGTCGGCGGAGGAATCTCAGAGTCGCCGAACCTGCTGACGAGAACAGCGGCCCCTATCAGCAGCAGTGGTGCCCCGCGTTGGCGAGCTTTGTGCGTTTCCGCGATGGCTGAAATACTATGGATGGCGTCTCAAAGCCGCGACTGTTTCTGCATGCGGCAGTATATGCTAGTAGGGGGTATTGGTTTGTTGTGTTTCACTTTAAATCAGCTTTCATTACGTTTCCTGCCGAGTAGGACCTCCATTACGTGGTCACACATGCCGTACATTGCCTGATGACTACAACACATGATCTCGGAATCTTTCACCGCCTCTGGGTTCCCCACCGCCGCGGCCCGTCATCCCGACCGTCTCCACTCTCTCCGCAACGCAGAGCTCTCGCGTGGTGCCACGAAAGCGTCTCGACTCCGCCGTCAGGTGGCTACCACAACGGCGCCGCCGCGTCGTTCTCCCCTCCCCGCCCTACTCGAGACTTCTTGGCGATCGGGATGTCCGCCGGCGCCGTTCTGGTGCTCGCGGTGGATATCGGAACCAACGCCGACGCCGTGGCAGCGGCAGCGGTAGAATCACCGGCTAGTCTCGCGCATGTCGATGCCGGCGGCGGGGGCAGCTCAGCGCCTGCCCGCGTCAGAAGCGGAGGGATAACGGCGGCGGTAACAGCGGTGCCGTTGCGACGGGTGTGTGTGTCGGACGGGTCCCCCGTAACGTTCCTGGCTTTCGTCGTCCCGAGGAGTGGTAGGTGGGGCGCGGGGTCAATGAAGCAGGGAGACAACGGTGACTCACCGCCTTCTTCGGTGAGCACATTTTTTCTCTCGTGTGTAGGTTCTCATGTGCGGCGGTCGTTCTAGTTGCTGGTCATGTGTTGTCTTTGGGGTTTGTTGCGTCATGCTGTGTGCGTTGGAAACATTGTCGTGCGAGTGCAAGGGGTTGTTGGACTCGGTCCCACCTTCGACGGCACGAACTGTGCGAGGTGGGTGTCCCGGTACCGACGGGTTGCCTCTTGCTCCGATCAGGAGCTGAGCGGTTGGCTACCGCGAGCCTTCCGTTGTTTCGTCCCTGACTTTTGCGACACCAGCTATTTTTTTCTTCGCACATTCCTTTGCGATTATTTCCGCCGACGAGTTTGGTTGACAGTCACCCCGTCTTCCCCGTCCATTCTCCCATGACTGGTTTTTCGCTCCGTCCGCTTGTGGTTGTTATGTGTCGTGGCGGTGGGAGTCGCATTGTGTCTGCATCCTCACGAAGTGCTTTTCTTTTTTTCGTCCGTGTAACCGTCATGCTGTTGTTTCTATTTCTGCGAACTCACGGGCTGCATTCTTGTGTGTTTCCGGCGTTTTTGCTGTGCGTTTCCCGCTGCGGCGTAGCCCCGGGCAGCGCTCGCGGTAGCGAAAGGCGCGATGGTATCGCTCTTCCCTCTCGTGACCGCCACGGCTAGCAACATCCACAACCAGCAGGACAATCAGCACCCGGCGACGGAACCAACAACTACGGCACGGGTGACAGCAGCAACGACAACAGCAGAAGGTTTAGCGGCATCGGGGCCGGCACGAGAGGCTACCCCTTCCTTGCCCCGCCGTTTCGCGGCGACCCCGGACGGGCGTCAGCCGGCGGCCGTTACGTGGCGGGCCCACGACCACAACGTGACGGGCATCTCGACGGTCCCGTTCGCAGCCCCGATGTCAAGCACCGCGTCGCCCCCTTCCCTCGCCGGTACTAGCCCATCCTCTTCCCCAACGGCCCCGTCGGGGCCGGGTGCACCTCCTACAGCGGTGGGAAATGGAAAACATCGTCAAGACGGCGAGAAAGGCGGCGGCGGAAGTTGCGCTGGCGGTGCTGCCACCTCCGTCGGTGATGCCGGTGCCGGGAGGGATGATTCCAGCCGGGAGGGGGGCGCGGAACGCGCGCGGGTGGGTGGCAAGCGGCGCCGACGAGAAGAAGGGGACGCTGGCGGAGGCTGTAGGAGGAGCGGCGGTCGTGCGACGGCGTTGGTGTACACGTGCTCGATGGACGGGTCCTGCAGGGAGTGGGAGGTGGAGGTGGCGGTGTCCCCGGGTGGGGACCGCGGCGGCGGCGGCCGGGAGGGGGCTGCGAAGGCAAGGTGAGGTGCTTGGTGAATGATGGGTTGGGTCCAAGGAGCCTTCCCAGTGGAACCCATGGGACCCAGGCTAGACATCAATCTTGGTCGCCAGGGGGGGGGGGGGGGG